TAATAATGATACATTTAAATATATAAAAAAAACAAGCCTTTAGAATTATATATCGAAAATTTTAAGCTTTAAGAGCTCGGATCTGGCCAGCTCGAGTTTACTTATAGCGTTTTCGAATATAGCAGGTTTAATCGCTCTCAGAGCGATTAATGACGTCATTGCATCGTCTCTGCCAATAAAAGGCTTGAATTCATAGTAAAATATAGTGATTAATTGAACCGAGTTGGATTAACCCGTTTATTCGAAAACGCTATTAGAGATAAGAGCTTCAAACAGCGCGGGAATTATTTCTGGCAGGAAACTATGGCTGCGGTCGAGAAGATGCTTTGAAGCAATGAGTAAAGAATCACAGGAGAGAGCATATCGATGGTGCATTGCCAGGGCTTTGAGGTACTTCCAGTATCTCTGTCATCCTGCAATTCGTCCCTGAGCGGCCATCTTGAGCGTCCACTTAAAGAAATTTTTACTCTTTTTGTCCTGATTAGTCAATCAAATGCTTCGAAGCATTTCTAGCGTCTTCCCGACCACAGCCTATGTCATTTCGATACATGGCCTTCGCTCTCTAGCGTATGATAGGAAGAGCGCGTCATCGCATATATATGTAGAGGGCGCAAGTAACGCCGAGATGTAACCTTACTGTTTGCAGACCATGCGCCATGCGTCTTTCGTGCAACATGGCGACCGGCAAAGGATTGATTGTGATTTTCCTTCCGAAAACTATCAACTTTATTGGCAATAATAAGCTAAAAAAATTCTCATGTAACGTTCTACAGCAAAGCAACACATGTCGGCGACACCTGATGACCGTTGCGTCGACTGTCGGTTGTCCGAATCGCAACAAAGCAGAAAAAAGTAAAGTATATACCTTCGATATTACGAATTTTTAGATTACATCATTGTCCGATGGAATTACGTTAGGCTTATATCTTCGTCGATTTGGCGACGACTTTCTCGCGTCAGCGTTTCAATCGCTCGTACTTATATCCTTTATTTCTGCCATCGTTTGATACATGCGGTACATATGCCGATTTTCCAACACGTTAACATAACCTATAATTTCGAGCTTTCTATATATGTATAGAGGTTACTGTTCCAGAAAAATCTGACAGCTGAGATATCTTCTCTCAAAATGCCACTGTCTACATAATCAACTGATTCACAATGGAACTCTATATCTCTAGATATTCGAACAATTCAAATCTATGATTTAATCTAAGACAAGATTTTTAGATGTTTGATGATATTGAGTTTTATTTTTTCTAATTTCTATTTTAGATACTCTAGGAAGGATAGTGCAATCACATAGAGCCATACATTTAACAAATAGATTGTTAAGACGCAACAACTATTATGAGATTCTGGGTGTCTCTAAGAATGCCTCAGCCACAGACATAAAAAAGGCATATTATCAATTAGCTAAAAAATATCATCCTGATACAAACAAAGAAGATCCGGATGCTAGTAAAAAGTTTCAGGAGGTTGCCGAGGCTTATGAAGTGTTGAGTGATGATACTAAGAGGAAGGAATTTGATACATGGGGTGCAACCTCTGAACAAATGGGGATGGGAAGGGGTAATCGGGGAACCAAAAATTACAATCAACACTGGCAATATAGATCATCTGTTAACGCGGAGGAATTGTTTAGAAGAATATTTGGCGATGCTGGATTTCAAAGCGGAGCCTTTAATGATTTTGAAGATTTTACAGAGACAACGTATGGTTTCGGAGCAGCTCAAGAGGTACACAAATATCTGTGTTGTACTTATTTTCTAATTAATGCAGCATAAACCTAATATTTTCTTCTTTTTATACAGGTGATAATGAATTTATCATTTTCCCAAGCTGCCAGAGGTGTGAATAAAGATATCGAGGTAAACGTAATAGACGCTTGTCCGAAATGCCGTGGCTCACGTTGCGAGCTCGGGACGAAACCGGTAAAATGTCACTACTGCAATGGTACAGGAATAGAAACAATAAGCACTGGCCCTTTTGTAATGAGCACGACTTGTCGATATTGTCAAGGCACAAGAATACACATCAAGTTCCCTTGCACAGAGTGTCTTGCGAAAGGACAAACGGTACGAATACTTCTTGTTCAGTCATCATCTTAAGAATCATTCCATTTTCTTATTTACCATCATGTGTTTTAATCATGCTGTATTTCTATAGGTACAACGTAAGAAAGTGACGGTACCGGTTCCCGCCGGAGTGGAAGACGGTCAAACGATTCGTATGCCGATCGGCAACAAAGAGATATTTGTGACATTCCGTGTGGAGAAGTCCCGGTATTTTCGCCGCGATGGCCCCGATGTGCACACCGAAGCGGGAATCTCGCTGGCGCAAGCGGTATTAGGCGGTACGATACGAGTGGAGGGCGTATACGAGGATCAGACTATCCAAATAACGCCAGGCACATCGTCCCACACGCGAATCCGTTTGAGTGGCAAAGGGTTAAAGAAGATTTCCGGAGTTGGTTACGGCGATCATTACGTGACCATTAAAGTCATAGTGCCTAAAAAATTGACTGATAAGCAGCAAGCGTTGTTACAAGCGTACGCCGAGCTTGAAACCGATACCCCCGGCAATATATACGGTATAACATATAAAACAGATGGTAAGGACAAACAATGAAAAAAAACTAAATCGTCATTTAGAATATATTCGTGATATATACCTTTGACATCCTTACCATATCTTACATTATAATAATTCATCTCGATTCATACACACTTGCGAGTCGCTTGAGTTTTCTCCGATTGTACCTGCTACTATTAATTAAATAAAACATTAAAATGAGCGCGTTTCATTGGCATTTATCAAAATGAAACAAAAGAGTTTTCCTTCCACATGAAAATTTTTGCAATAACAATAAAAGTTAGAATAATAAAGATTAATTCATTTATGAAATACATGTATTGCTTTGAGTCTCCTTTATCAGTAGCTTCAATGTTTTTTCTAGGCACAGCAGGTCCAAAGGTGCAAACTCAAGCGAGACAAGATATCCAAAATGATCTAACTAATCAAAATGATGGTCTGCTTGGAAAAATTAAAAAAGCTATATTTGGATAGGAATAAGTAGTAAGTAAATTATTGAAAAGAGCATTACTTATTTCTGCAATTCATTTATCGCTTAAATACATAATATTTTTTAGTTAACAGATCAAAACTATTTTGATCTATAATCTAAAACGTTTTTTCTTTTATAAGTGAAATTGTAGGTATTTTTATTAATACAATTTCCTAACTCTGTGCCCAGATTAACCAAAGTATATTTGAGCTATAAATGCTTTCTTATTTTGTGGCACATAAGTTTCATGATAAAAAGTTTTATGATAAAAATATTTATCGCCATTTTCAAATTACTATTATGAAATCCTCCCCATTACAATCAACTAAGTTTCTGTGATAGATCTTGGACATCCTATAGTAGACATACTAACACAAAGGAATATAAATGTATTGTTACAATTTATTGTTTATCCACAGGTACAAAAGAGAGTTACTCAGGTCCGCTACACTTGGTGGAGTCTATACGAATAGCATTGGGAAATATGCCTAATCACAAAAAACAGTTTTTGTCATCTGAGCCCGAACATCCGGGAGATAAACACTACAATAAGCCCGTGCATACCAAAGACACATCGGATGCTGGCAGCAAAAATGACACTAATGCTGCTGAAATGCAACGGCAGAAAATGCCTTAGATGTAATCGTGTAACATCTAAAGCAGTCTATAGAGATCTAGAGAATGCTGTTCATCGCTAATAAATATAAAAATATTACATACGTGCTATTGGATATATTAATATTATATATATATATTAATTATATTGAATACATTAATATTATATACAATATTAATATTATCATTACAAATGGGAATCATAGAGGGCATATATTGCAGTCGTGTACACTTTTAATCAAGTTAAATAAAAGCATGATGTGGATAATCGTTACAAGCTTGAATAAATGAGGCCAGCCTGATATCGCTTAGATATCCTAGCTGTACAGTTATATCGTAGCACACAAGTTCGTTTTTATTTGTTACATCTTATTTAAATAAAGTATACATGGAGATACAAGTATACAAATCTATCCATTTCAATCGTGTGACAGTGCATATTTGTAAAATAAGAAATTCACACAACACCATTTACATCCTTTTGCATATACTTGAAACTGCATGTATTCTTTCATATTTGTTTTTTTTCTCTTATTTAGAAATTTTTATCTATATGGATATAAATTGTACAAAAAATCTGTTTTGACAATTGAATCGATATGTTTGATGACGAAACGCATTTGCGAAATAAAAGATTAATTGTTCTATATTTTTTTCGCGTAGTTTAATTACCGATAGCTCGATAGTTCATTATCGAACGCATTAAAACATATGACAAAAACAATATGGACTATTTAATAAATAAATTCTATGAGAATTTAAGCTTCGATCAACAAACCATATTTCAGTCCGATGTTTGTGAGACTCTGCGTCGCTGATACTCGTAACACAGCTACCACTATCGCCGCAATAGTGACAGCACCTTCTAAATACAGACCATATAATATCCGTACGTGACCGACAATGGTGGAAAGTCCGCCCGCCGCGGTGAAGTCCAACGGAAACAATACACTCGCCGCAATCGGCCTCGATCGCGCTATACCAAAGCACAGTATTCCCAGAATGTAGTAAGCAACTACAATAGAAATAAAGATGTTTTACTTTAATTATTATATTTACCTTAATATTGTCCAAGTAATTATTATATTTTGATCTATAAAAGCTACATTCTGTAATTTCTGTACAAATTTTCGTGTAACAATAATTATGTGCAGTCGAAATAATTATTTACCTGAACAGACAAACGCTAGAACTTTGACCCATTTTGGCATCGGCATCGTGGAATAGCCGGATTCCACGTTGTTGAATCGCAAGCCTCTGGTAAACGCGTATCTTTGCAGACGAACTGCCACCATCACGCCGAAATTTAGTATAAGAAGAAAATGCGCGGGAATGCCAATAACGGCGAAAATTACTCCTGCCGTGCGGCCTGTATTAGTTCGCGGAACAGGCGCTCCGAAGCCTGTAAAATTCAAGAATACAGCAGGAATAAGTCGAGAAGACACGAGACAATTTTTAGAATATAAAAAAAGATTTACACGTGTACTCTTATATTTATATATATATAGAGTCAATTTTTCAAGCTAGTTATTTAAGAATTAATTTCTATATATAATTAACATACCTAGAGTAGTGATTAGCGATATAGCGAACAGCACGCAACCAGGAAATGTCCACAACTGTCCGCTATTGCCGCCCTCGCCGTAACCGGAGTGCGGCCTGTATTAATTCGCGGAACAGGCGCTCCGAAGCCTGTAAAATTCAAGAATACACCAGGAATAAGTCGAGAAGACACGAGACAATTTTTAGAATATAAAAAAAGATTTACACGTGTACTCTTATATTTATATATATATAGAGTCAATTTTTCAAGCTAGTTATTTAAGAATTAATTTCTATATATAATTAACATACCTAGAGTAGTGATTAGCGATATAGCGAACAGCACGCAACCAGGAAATGTCCACAACTGTCCGCTATTGCCGCCCTCGCCGTAACCGGAATTAACGGCGACCAGGAGAAGTTCCTCGTGTTTAGCCACGTACTGACGAACTTTGTCGCTCCATAACGGCTCCACGTCCTGATCCCGTTCTGTACGCAATTGTCGCAACTCTGTCGCCAGCCCAATCGCCAGATCTTTCTGCATGTTCTTCAGTGACACGACCTGCTCGCGTTCACGTGGTCCTTCCGCGGCACAAAACGCTGCCGCGCCTGCTACCGTCCACATAACGAGTAGCCATAAAAGACCTGCGACGAATTATGTTAAATTGCTAAGTACCATGTTAAAGTTATAAAACTCGAATCAACTGGGCATACCAAATTGCGAGAACGATAATCGTCCCAAAAATTTTAGATACTTCCAGAATCTCGATGAATCAGAAGAGGAATTCCCGTTATCCTCTTCGATATTTCTGAGAGACGGCAATACTCTTAATCGTAGCGGTAATCCTTCTATGGTCTGAATAGCCACGGATTTTGTCCAATTCGTTGGTATTATACCGTTTTTCAAGCGAGGCGAGATATCCGTGGATATTGTAGTCGGTGTATCTGTAATATCTATTTTTAATTTATTATTTAATTTATTATTTATATGTATATGCAGTAAAACAGGAAACAAAATTTATAATGTACATATACATATATGAGGCAATCTTTCATGCATATGTGTATAAAGATATTGTCTCCGAGTGTTTTTTTTATAAGTTAAAAGTTCGGGATGTAAGTACTGAAAAATGATTGTACCAAAGAGTATGTCAAGTCAATTTGTCTTTAGATTCTCGATGAAAGTTGCAGGAAAATACACAGTAATCGATTGTGTATATTTGAAACTTGGTACCGCACACATGTCCCCTCTTATTAATGTTATATCGTTCCCTCTATATGAAATACTATTACGTGATAGACTTTTTTTCAATGCCTTTTTTACACGCGCACGCATCATTATAAGATATTAATTATTGATCATTCAAAAATATATTTTGCAAGCCTGTTTGCAATATATCTTCAACTTTTCTTGCATTATTATACATTTTTTTTCAATATTATTTTTTCAGTATTTTATTTATATTATATATATATAAATTAAAATTTGATTTGTAATAGTTCGAATAACACCTACCGACGCCGCAGATGACATCGTCGTCGTCGTCCCTCTCGTCGTCCTTTGCATGGTGTTCCATCATCCTCACACGAAACTCGGTGATACTACGATGTGCAGCAGCATCCTTGAAGAGAGTAGATGCGTTCTTGACCCGCGGATAAACCAAATTTCTGCAGAGGCGACGGTGCTGTTTTCTGGTGCGGAAGATGAGAGAGGACCGCGGGTCCACGGCATGTCGTTTGCGCGGTACGGCCACGACGGATAGCGGAGTGCGTGGTAACGTCGCGATGTCCGGCACGTCACTGATCGGGGTCGCAACGCTCCCAACGGCCGGTGGTCGCGGAAAAAGTGGCACATGCATCGGTTAAGGTCAAGATTGTGACCGCGCTGTACAATCTGATCATGGTCTTCCGCAATCGATTACATAATCGTCCATATTTTACACGTTGTGCTCCTTTCTCGTTTCCTTAGTCCTTTCCAGAAGATTCGTCTCAATTGAGCAACGATGATGTTCTCGCACACTTGTTGAATCGGTTCATCTCGCAAAGCGTTCCTTAGATGCGCTTTCCAGTATTCCCAAGGAACTGTATAGCTATAGAGATTTCGATTCTAATAAATTTCGATCCATCGCACGATTGCAATTTTAATTTACCTATTTTTTGCAGGGCTTTTTGTTGCTTATTCATGCAAGAGTATGTACATAAGAATTCGATCGATGAGCTCTGCATGGAAACAATGCTTTATGTTTTATTAATAATACTGTATCTCTATGCTGTTTAATACACATTATATGAATTATGGCGACAATAATTGATTTATATGACATTTAACTTGGTAATCAACATGTGCCATCGTATCTTTCACTTAGCTATAACTTGCCAGCTAAATATAAATATTCTCAAGCAGATAATTCGATAAATATATTTATCTGACCTCGTGACTAAGCCTCGATAATATAATATTTCAAAACTTGTCAAAAATTATTAATAAAAAAAAAAACAAAGATAGAAGCAAAATTACAAACACGCCGACGATTCAACACCTCGAGGAATCGAGGAACTACTGGTTTTGTGGAACGAAATTTTCATGCATCGGCACGGTTTCACTACCGCATAACCGGAAGAGAGTACTGGTATATGTATACAATACTCTTCTGTGTATGCGAATCGCGCTGAAATTAGAATACGCTGTTAGAATCAATGACGACGACCCTTAAATAATCCATAGTATTTTGTCTATAACTAATTGCATACGTTTCCCATTTTCGATTAGACGTGCTCGTACGATGAATCCGACGTGTAGTGCACTCATTCGACTATAGCGTGCCGCAATCACGGCACATGGCTGTAATTGTGTAATGCGTCACGCAATACGTCGATTTGCAGCCGACTTCTGTAATACTCAATAAGCAACGGTATTAATAATGTAATAATTCGTAACTTTAATTGTTATATTTTACATTATATTGTTATTCGTAACTTTAATTGTGTCATATTTTACATTGTGTATTTGTCCCACAGCTCTTTCTCCTTATATGCAATTTTCATCGTTTACAAATATGTAAAATATGTAAATAATGTTCTCCGCGTTTTCTCTGCGCAAAGTAATGTATCTTTCGGATACGCGCTCATTATTGAATTATCGATCATGTGACCTTATTGTTTCCTTGCGTACATTGTCCTCGCGTGTGCAGTGCTTTATTATTGCGCAGATTCTGTATGCGCGATGACTTATAGGTACAAAGCTTCGACATTCTATAATATATATATAGACAAACAAAAAATATAAGACACATATTAAAAACTAAAAAGATATAATAAATATGAGAGAGAAAGAAAATTATATAAACCTCGGTTAAAATGTAAAAATCAAAATAAAAAATTCGTCATTAAGATTTATTTCAGATTGTTAATGGAGATAATTCTAAAAGTATAATATAAAATTTACATGTCATTAGCGGCCTTCTCTTCCTTTGCCCGCAATCGCGACTCCTCTGCATCCTCGGCTGCGCATCTTCGCGGTTTGCCAACAGCGTTTGCGCGACATCGATCTGCGATATTTCGCGGTGTCGCCCCTCAGTGAACGTCACCCCGTGCCAGTTTGACACGGCGGATGTTCCTTGGAGGATCCGCCGTTTGCGCCTATAATATGGAACATTGTTCTACTGTTCTCGATCGACGACGAGATCGAGGAATTCCTGAGGTGCGTGAGTTAACCGAACAGTTATTCGTTATTGATTCGTCAATTAACAGCTTTACTTGCATGTGTCAAACGTATCGTGTCTTAAAATCATTCCTAAACACTCCTCCACATTGCTAAAAATATAATAGCAATTGAAGATTAAACAATATAGATAATACAGAATATATAATTAACATTTTATCCTATAGATATTTTCATCACATAAAACATATTAAGAAAATAAGAGTGTCAAGTATATTTATCTGTATAAAATAATGTGCCGTAAAAAAGAAGCGAGATGAAAAAGTGATAGCAAAAAATATAGAGAAATTGCCACAATTGTATTAAACTTATAATTGCATCAAAGGCAAAGCTCAGCGACATAAAACGTATAGAAAACGTGAATATTAAAAATGTATATTTACAATAGATGCAAATATCAATATAATATTATGTAAATTTAGATACAATATAATATTATCATGATATTAAATAAAAATTCAAGTATTTCTTTGCCATAATTTTTATCTTTTATGGAAAAAAAAGAAAGATTTATTTATTTATTTTATTAATATATTCTCTAATAATGTTCGCGAAAAAAATCTAGCAGTCGGCTAAAAGAGATACACTATATTGTAGCGTTTTCTTTGCAAGATTACTGTCCTAGATATTATACTCTTGATATGACACATATGGTTTCTTGATTTTGTAAAAATTCCTAGAGGCAAAAACTACATTTAAATTAAATTAATTAAATTCTAAATCTGTCTTCAGACAAGAAAGCGATGCGTAGCCTTGCTCGCAGGCTACTAGTATGGCCGGCATTCGTACTGTCCCTCCTGGTGGCCGGTCGTTTGCTGTTCGGCCGCGATTTTCGATTGCCGGCAACGACAATCGTTTTTCACGACGACGATAGCATCCCGATACCGAGCGGCGGCCATACGAATTCGCAGCAAGATTCTGGTCCGCCGGGACCGCCCGCTTATGCGGCAGGCATGTACATGACAGGTCGGCAACCCCGTAACGGAAGTGCTTGCAAGTGGTACCATGGTCTACCGGATGTCCTTTCTTATCCACCGTCCAAGCTCACTTGGAGCCCCGAAATCGGCGAGAAGAGCCCTTATAGGTACAAAACCGCACAAAAGATTGTTAATACTTCTATTTTGCTAGAAAATATAATGGTATCGAAAGCGGAGCACGGAGAAAAAAAGAGTCCGCTCGCACAGCAAATTTATGCTGTCGTATGGCAAAGTTCATCAATTATCGTATTAACAAAAAAAAAATATTAATATTCTTATTAAAAATATACCGAATAATTTGTTACGAGATAGTAAAAAGTTTGATTCGCTTTCGCGTCAAATATAATAAACGATGGATGACGATTTTGCTGTAATGGCGAGATTCTTTTTCTCCGTGCAGGGTCCTACCATTCGTGTTGCGCGGCGCCACCGAAGCGACAGACGGGTTGCCCCAGGTCACGCTGTCTACACATGCCACTGCCGATCAGGTTTACGGGATCGTGGAGCTGGCCAGACGATGGGAGGGACCGCTCAGCCTGGCAGTGTTCGCGCCAGGCCTCGACGCCGGCCTCGCTGTCGCTCAGCTTGATCGGGCCTGTCGGTGCGAGCCTGCCATGTACAAGGTCTCCCTTAACTTCTATGTCACGAACATCGTCTGTCATGCAACACTTGTCGACCCTCAAAGTTTTTATGCCTTTGTCGATATACCCGAGAGTCCGTAAATGCTGCTTCTAGAATATCCTATATAAAAAAGATACTTTACTTTATATTATCGCGTACACGCAAGCAATTTATTATAGATATATTTTTCGTTACTTTTCATGAAAATTAGTTCATCAGTTTGCTTATATAAATATAATTTGATATATAATTTGATATAGCAGAGTTTAGTTTTTTTTACGGTTGAAATAATTTTCTAGACACACGACATGAGATCGTTCATATGGCATACATTAGTTATTAGTTGATGAAGCGGAATCAATACGTCTACTACAAAAGCATGGTAGACGCGGATTCCGTTATATCAATATGCACACTTGCGATTAGCACAACTGTTTTAATCCATATGGAATGCCAACAGTTTTAATTAAGATTAATTAAGATTCTATAGATTAAGAACATTTAATTCTGCATGCAATTCATAAATAGAAGCTATAGAAAAATGCCGAACTGCTATAATTGCTTGTATTATAGGTCTTGTGCAACAGCATGCTAAACTATACGAAAATCTTACAGATTAACAAACATTTAACATAAGGTAAATAATACAAAAGAAATCCAAAACTAATAAAATATTAGACCAGATATATATTAATTTATTAAAATATGAGATTTCTTATTTACGATACAAATCTCGATAAGAATCAAATATCGTAAATAAATAATATATATATCTTGAAAATAATCTAAAATTTAAAATCTATATTTCGAGTAAAAATCCAAATCATTACGAGCTGTTCACTTACCATAGCAGATGCTATAACGATGTTAATAAAAAGTAATAAAATATAATAGATATTGCGATCGATTATGGATGCAATCTTCTCTTGTCTTTTACAGATATCTGTCCCTCTTAGGACACATAGTATTACCTACCTATGCTTTCTCTTTGCTCTACCGTTCCGTTTTCATATATTCTTCAGTATAGAATTCGCACCTTAATCGAAGGATCTAACAATCGCAGGTTTCCGTCCACCTGGTGTTTCCGGCGGGTCGACCGCCCGCTTTGAATGCGATCAGTCGTACTCGAGGCGATTGCGCCGCCTCTGATCTTCAGTGGCGACAGGCCGATACTGAGAGGCGAAAGATGAGCATGATGTATCCGATCAACGTAGCTCGGAACGTAGCGAGAACGGCGGCGAACACGTCCCGCGTGCTGGTGTCGGACATTGAGCTGCTGCCGAGTGCGCGGCTGGCTTCCGGTTTCATGGACATGGTACATCAGAGGTCGCCCAAGGTCGGCGTGATCTTCGTCGTACCCGTCTTCGAGATAGAGTCCAACGAACCGCCGCCAGCGACGAAGCGCGAGCTCCTCGCCGCCTGCCGAGCCGGTTTAGCGGTATATTTTCATAGGTAGATTTACACGGAGATTTATGTAATCTCTGGAATTCTAGATTTAAAAATACTGATATACCTATTTTCGAGTAAGATTTCTCAAAATGAAGCATCTGTGTCAAAACTAATGTACGTTCAAATAAGATAACGACAAGATGGATCCTTCGCAGATTCCTCTGTCCGCACTGCCAGCGATTTCCCGGACTGAGCAGGTGGATGATCAGGCCGGATCCGGGCAGGGTTCGACCGCTGATCATCACCAAAAGGGAATATCCGCATCACAGGTGGGAGCCGGTTTTCATCGGCACGCGCGAGGATCCGCTCTATACGGAAGAGATGTCCTGGGAAGGGAAACAGGATAAGATGGCCCAGGTATCTTATTTAAATACAGACTCATCTCTCCTAAATACGGTAAATATTAAAAAAATTTGCGAATAATTATATATTATATATCTGGAAAAATCTATAAATTTATATTCCTTCGACACTTTTCAGCCTGCGATTTCCCTTCCATTTATACAGGGTGTCCCAAAGCACCCTTGACAACGCTCGTGAGCAAGTAGAGCACAATAAACTGAACAGAAAAGTCCTGTACCATTTTTTTCTATAACGCTTAATAAAGGAGTTATTATTGAGTAAAGTCTGGCCAATCAGCTCCGACCTTTAGCCGCGCGCTTGGTAATGAACGCTCCGTAACTCGTGGCTCCGTCGCTACGACGGCGCACATTACCAGGCAGGCGGCTCACCGATGTGTATCCGGCTAAAAATCGGCACTGTTATGTGGCCAGATTTTACTCAATAATAACTCCTTTATTAAATATATATAATTTAGATTATATAAAATGTCGTATACCCCATTGGACATTTTCTTGCTTTTATATAATTGGAATTCTATCTTATTCACCTTGTACAGATGTTCGAGATGTGTCTTCTGAATTATCGTCTAGTTGTGCTCGATGGTGCCTTTTTAGTGCATACTCCGGGAATCAAGCGGAAAACGCACAAGATCATTGCGGCCACGCAGGAATTCTTCCGGCCGCACGAGAGGCGAAACGCCAGGATCTATCAACGCGTGACAAAACGTCTAATCAAGCAATATCCGATTAATCGTAGATGCGCGCAATGAGACTTTTAAATATCAACATAATTCTTTCCCTGAAAGAAAAAAAACAGGTAGAAATAGAGAGAAATCACTCGACGCGCAAGCGGTGCCTGATATATCTGATGTATACGAACGATAGAAAAATATTTTTCGGCGACATCGTGAGTTTTAATTATAGACTTATAGAAGAATATATATCAATCGTTTTTCGAATATATCACCGCGGAAATAAAGATTTTTATACGGAAAGAAGTAAATTTTACGGTAATACTCACCTTCGTACACGATTCCTCTTC